TGAAAATAGGAGGCACTTCCAGCCTTGTATGTGGCCCTACCGCCCCCCCCAGCCAAAATTTTTTTTTTTTGTTGTTATTGTTGGGGTTTTTTTTTTTTGTTTTTTTTTTTTTTAATTTGAATCCAGGCAGCCACTACCTTAGCCAGAGTTTGTAGAGAGGCCTAAAAAGTGTCTGGATCCTGTATCGGTCTGCCTCAGGTCAGTTCTGAATTATTCTACTCTGGGGTCAAACACCTCAGTCTTACCCTGTCCCCAAGAACTGCAACGCTTGCTGCCCCTCAGCCTGCTCAGCCCTTGGGGGACACTGATGACTCCTGGGCATAACTTCTTTGATCTCTCATCCAGGAGGCCAGCTCAGCCTGGGGGAGGCTTACCAAGCCAGCACAGGACGTGCCACAGCCTTGAGGAAAACATGAAACACGTAGGTTTGTCATCTACCGTTGCCCACGGGTCTGCCCTTCAGAGACGGCCACTGACCTAATCTCCACCTCCAAATCTTTGGCACAGAATGACCCAGCCTTGTTGTGTGCGGCCTACAGTTATGTTTGAAGTTTAAATGATTGTGCTTAAGAGATCTAGGAAACAAAAATGCCTGTAAGCCCCGCTTGCCCAAAGACAGATAGCTGGAATGCTGGGGCTGTTGCTCACAGAAGATAACAAGCCACACGTTTTCACTTCTGTATACAGGGTTGGTTGCCCCATCTGCACAGGATGTGCTCGATCACATGTAGGCAGGAGGTCCATCAGGATGTATGCTTCTCCCTGATCAGACTGAAGGCAGGAAGTAGGTCGCCTTGTGGGGTTTGCCTCTATAAGCACCTGACATAATTTGCAGCCATTCTATGGGAATCACAGGTATGGACCTGGCCAGTGTCTAGACCAGTATTTAACAAAGCTTGCTTCAAATTTGGCTCAAAAATTATGGTAGAAGTCTTATTCTTGCCCAGTGGGATGAGCAGTTGGTGTGACAACACCCTCTTTCCCTGCATAGCTGGCCAGCATCGGTAAATAGCGGGATGCACCCGTTGCTCCCCTCTCTAGGGAGCCTTTGCACCCGATTTCTGTACAGACCTTCTAAACGGGGACGAGGTCACTCGTGACCAAGAAGGCACCCAGCCTTGCTCTGTCCCTGCAGCTTATGCAACGCTGGGTGTGGTCCCTCAAGACTCACACCCAGCTTGCTTCCTCCTGCCCTCCGATTTTCTGTAAGCCCTCTGTTGCCTGGGATAGCTCTCTCTGCAAGCTCTGCCGCTGACCTTTTCCACATCTCAACCCTGCTCTCCCTACAATCATCTCCCTGGGATCCGAGACTCTGCCCAAGCTCCTCCCGCATTCCCAGCGGGTTCCTTGTGGTCCAGCCTCCTCTTGTCTGACTGTCTGTCTCTGAGTGCCTCCAGCCGGAGCTGTCCCCTCCCTAACCTCCCTGTTGCTGCTGTCTTACCTCCCGACTTTTCACACCATCTGCTGTTGTCCGTCCTTGGCCCCATACCTTCTAATCGTTTTGACGTCTGCCCTCTTTTCTTTCTGGAGATCTAATTAGCCACAGTGACAAATGGCTTGGTAGCCTGGTCCCTGCACTGCCGCCTTCCCTGCCTAGTTTCTTCAGTTCATCAGTCCACCTAGAGTGTGCCAGGTTCTTGGGATAGAAGGGAAAGTGCCCTTCCCCGACAGCCTTTGTCTCCTCGGTGCTGGACCCCTGTGATGGCCTGACCACCAGAGGGTAGGCTGGGCTGAATACTGGGTTGGTTTCCAGTATGGATGTTCCTTGCTGGTAACTTGATTATCACCCGCTCTGCCATCACCACGGTTCTGGCTGATTTTCGTGTTTTATTTGTCTGAGACAGAGTTCCACGTAGCTGTTGTAGCTGAGGATGACCTTTGAACTCTTGCTCCTCCCAAGTGCTAAGATTACAAACGCGTGCCACCCACCCAGCTGTTTAGAGTCTTCCTACTTTTTTACAAGTTGAAACTCCTATCTCCAGCCTCCTCTACGGAGATGCCTCATGGCCTCTGGAGTCAGCAGCGAGTCACACCCAGCCCGGGAAAACCCTGTGTGTTCTTTCCTCTCTCATGATGGAGGCTCGCTCAACACCTCTAAAGAAGATAGAAGGTCGTAGTGGCAGGAGGGGTGTCACAGCTTGGCAAGTTTAGGCTAGGCCAGCCAGCGCCACTAGTGAGACTCTGTCACAAAACTAACCTAAATGAATTAAAGATCTCAAAAAGCTGATGCCCTGCAGTTCATTTCTCCTGGGACTTGGCGACTCGATTCAGCTTTTGTTTCCTTTGTATTAGTGACTTTGTCTTTTCAGACAATAGAAATTAAATTTATTGACATGCCTGAATGCATTGTGGATGGTTTTGATCCCTCGACAGGAGGTAAAACCGGGGTGGGGTTTCCTTAAGAGAGCTCAGTCAGAGCTAAGCTCTCCTTTGCCCTCTCATGCCCCTTCCCAGAATGCACTTGAACTCACACGACTATGAATTTCTCAATTTTTGGTTTCCATCCCTGGAAGGTCAAGGAGAGAGATGGAAGTAGTCACCAGGGCAGTCATTTTGTCAGAGGTGACACACTTCAGGTTGGACTTGAATTTCTTGCATCTGAGCTAATTGCTGCGCTCATGCATCCACCTATAAAATTACAGAGCGGCTCACCCAGAGACTCCGTGTCTATCGCAGGTCCCAGAGCTCTCTCTCCCTGTGGGCTCTGGCAGGCTGCCTGCTGGGTTCTAGGGACCAGCGTATCCTACCAATTCCTGGGCCCATCCTTGGACATCGGCTCCAATGGCGGCCCTCACAGACTACTCTTTTATGTACCGCTGGTTCAAAAATTGCAATCTGGTTCGAAACCTCTCAGAGAAGTATGTCTTTATCACGGGCTGCGACTCTGGCTTTGGGAACCTGCTGGCCAGACAACTGGTTGATCGGGGCATGAGAGTGCTCGCTGCCTGCCTCACGGAGGAGGGGGCCCAGAAACTCCAGCAGGACACCTCCTACCAGCTGCAGACCATCCTCCTAGATGTCACCAAGACTGAGAGCATCAAGGCCGCAGCCCAGTGGGTGAGGGACCAAGTGGGCGAGCAAGGTGGGGTGAACTGCGTTCCTTAACATTCTCTCTCTCTCTCTCTCTTTCTGGGACCTGATGTGCAAATGGAGTTGGAGAGATGGATAGGAAGCAGGCCAAGAGCCTCTGGTGCGGTTGAATCTGGAATCATGGCATGGTTTGGCCAGTTGACACGAGGAAGCAACATCCTGAGGACATTTTCTCCCTCAGAGGTTCAGGACAGAGGCAGCATCTGGAATGTTCCAAATGTTCAAACCTCTAAAGATGGAGGTGCCTTTTGGAGACTTCAGGAGTCCCAAATTGGCTCCCATAGAGGCACAGTCACAGTTCTTGGAGGGCTGAGGCTAGGAGCAGCAGGGAAGCAGCAAGAGGTGGAATCCCACGGGTGGGGTGGGCCCATTTCTTCTGTACGGCCTCCAGCAGGGGGGATCTCCCTTTAGAAAATGAACCTGTGTTGGGGGCTGTACCAGGAATACATGGGGACTTTCTTGCCTGAACTTGTGGCATACAGGGTGTGGACACCGGACTGCTTAGTTACAGGAACGGCGACTATGGGGAAGTTTTTGCTTCCGAAAAATCGCTAGGCCTCTGCCCAGAGCTCCAGCATTTAGCCCTACTCAGTACATAATGCATTTCAGTTTTTTAAAAACTATGTTGTTATTATGATTATTGCGTGTGTGTGTGTGTGTGTGTGTGTGTGTGTGTGTGTGTGAAGTACGAGAAGAGACCAAAAGAGGGCATTGGTACTATGGATCAGGAGTTACAGAAAAAGAAAACAGAGTAAGAAAAAAACTGTGTGGAAGTCAGAGGCTAGGTTTTGGAAGTCAGTTCCCTCACCATGTGAGCCCTGGGTATTGAATTCAGGTCACCAGGCTTGTGCTGCAGACACTCTTATCTGCTGAGCCATACTTCCGCCCCTTTTTTCTTTATCATCTGTTTCCTCTGCGGGAATAAAGCCTCCAGAGAGTGGGCCTATGTCCCTCACTCATCCCGTGTCCTTAGTACCTAGGACGATATCTACCACCCAGAAAGGTGCTTGCTAAATATTTGTCGACTGAGTTAGTTAATGAATAATTCAGCAGGGTGAGTCTCGTCCACCATGCTGCCTCAGCCTGTTCCCTGCACCCAGCCTGCAGCCATTTGTGACCATGACTCACTGGGTGTAGCAGTCTCCTGTTGCTGCAACAAATCCACGCAAATGCAGTGGTTTAAACAGCACACATTTATTACCCCATAATTCTGGAGGAAATAAGTCCAAAATGGTTCTCACTAGGCAATGTCTCAACAAAGCTGGCTCATTTGGGGGGTCTGGGGCAGAGCTCACTTCCAGGATTTTCCTGCCTTGGAGGCTGCCAACATTCCTTAGCTCACGGTTCACCCCCTCTTCCAGTAAGCTTGAGCCACGTCCTCTCTATGCGTTTTCATTTTTCTGCTTCTTTGGCCCCTGCTTTCTTCTTCCAGTTAAGTGTCCTGTGGTTATGTGGCCTTACCTGGTGAACTTGGGATAATGTCACTTGATTAGCCACCTTCCTTCCACCTGTAGCCTTAATCCTCCCTTTCCCGTGCACCCTAACAAACTCCCAGGTTCCTGGGGTGGCGACATCTTCGGAGGACTGATATTCTTCATGCGCCACTGAGCAGCGTCTTCCATGGAAGAAGCACTGGGGACTGGGTAAGGTGATGCACACCTGCATCCCAGAGTTCAAGAAACTGAGGCGGAAGATAGACAGGCTCCTGTGAGCACAGCCCTGGAGCTGAAACCCCTGCTCTGATCATTCTCTAATTATTCTTTATAGGAAAACAAACACCATCAGAGGCATCGGTGGTCTGTGGTCCCCTTGAGAGCAATAGCACTCAAGTGTCAGGATCTTTGAGTCTCAGGAGCCTCAGGACCTCCTCTGCTAAGAGAGGTCCCTTAGCTGGGAAGGCTCTGAGTCCTACCAGTCGGTTCTTCTCCTGGAGTCTCTCCAGCCTGAAGAGGGGATAGATGGGGAGAGGCATGGCTTAGGGGGGGGACTCCAGAGCCAGGGTCAGAACTGGTGGTCTCACCCAGATCTGCCCTCAGGAGAGGGAGTGCACTCAAGAAGGGGTCTCAGGGCTTGTCTTAATCAGAAGGGGACTGTACAGAGAAAAGAACAGAAGGGTCGGGGGTTGGGGCTCATGGAGTCCCAGGGGAAGGAAGAGACTTGAACTGTTTGCATCACCTCCTTGGTGGCATTTCACTCAAAAGCTCAACTCATAAAACAAATGAAAGAAGGACTTCTCCCACAGCCCCATCCCTAGCAGGCTTGTGGAAACAACTGTCCTGGTGCTGTTTGATGAGGAACCCGAGGCCCAGGGGAGGGAAGGGGCTTGTCCAAGGCCGGAATCAGAGCCAGACCTGAGTCCTGGGTTTCTTCAACCCCAAGGTCCCACAGAGTTGGATGACCAAACTGTTTTTCTCTAGTCCTACCTTCCTGATCTGAGAGAACCTCACCCCATTGCCATAAGTACCATAGTGTGTGTTCTTCTGTACTTTTCTATAAATACTCCAAGCTCACTCTTCTCTCTGGTCTCTGGGCTTCTGGAGGCGTAAGATCCCAACTTGTTCATTTTATGTCTCCTTTACTTAAGTGACAACACAGAGCAGAATCTGGATGAATGAATGAATGAATGAATGAATGACGTTTGCTAGGCGAATAGACCAATGGACTGACTGATTGGGTCATCATGAAATGGAAACTTGGAAGAGTAGATAAAAGGGTGTGAGATTGAGAAGCCAAGCACTGATCCATTTGCATGAAAATGGCAACTCACAGCTTCACGGCCACTGGCTGCACACAGCCTTGTTTATAGTAGGTACAGAGCCCAGTTTAGTTGGCAGACCCTAGGAATCAGGGAAATAAAAAAACATCCCACCGGGAACATCGAACACTTTGGCCTTAAGTTTGCTCTCCCGACTGTCCCAAGCCACACCATCCTTGAGTGTCTGCCCATTGTCCGTAGGCGTTGTCCACCGGCTAAGCCACCCATGGACAGCGAGCTGTTGACTGGTGTCCCACGGAGCTCTTCCAGAGAACGTGCTGATTCCTGTACGGTTCTCTCTACCTTTGTCTCCCCCCAGGCCTCTGGGCCCTAGTGAACAACGCTGGTGTGGGCCTGCCTAGTGGCCCCAATGAATGGCTGACCAAAGAAGACTTCGTGAAAGTGATCAATGTGAACCTGGTGGGACTGATTGAAGTCACCCTGAACATGCTGCCTATGGTCAAGAAAGCCCGGGGCAGGGTGGTCAACATGTCCAGTTCCGGTGGGCGCGTGGCTGTCATCGGTGGTGGCTACTGTGTCTCCAAGTTTGGTGTTGAAGCCTTCTCGGATAGCATCAGGTGAGTGGGTCCTGGAACCAAACCAGGTGGGGGTCTCGGGGCTTTCCCACAGTAATAGAGGCCCGAACGGGTCAGTGTGTAGGCAGGGGAGTTCTGGGAAGAAGACTCTCAAACAGGACCAAGGGGAGAAGTCGGGAGGAGGGAGCCCTGTGGAATTAGGATTAGAAGACACCGGGTGGATCTTCCCTTGGGCAGACCCAGAGTGAGGCAAACCCTGTTAAATCACAGTGGGGGGGGGTAAAGGGGAGGAA